GGTGGGTGGGGTTCATGTTGGCCCTGTGGGTGGGTGGGGTTCACGGTGTCCGTGTGGGTGGGTGGGTGGGGTTCACTGTGGCCGTGTGGGTGGGTGGGGTTCACGGTGGTTGTAATTATTGTGTACAGATGTATATGGGTCTCTATGGGTCTCTGTCTGTGTGGGTTTCTGTATGGGTCTCTGTAGGTCTCTATGGGTCTCTGTAGGTCTCTATGGGTCTCTGTCTCTATAGGTCTCTGGGTCTCTGTCTGTATGGGTATCTATAGGTCTCTATGGGTCTCTGTGTGGGTCTCTGTGGGTCTGTCTGTATGGGTATCTATGGGTCTCTATGGGTCTCTGTCTGTGTGGGTCTCTGTCTGTGTAGGTCTCTATGGGTCTCTGTGTGGGTCTCTGTGTAGGTCTCTATGGGTCTCTGTGGGTCTCTGTCTGTGTAGGTCTCTATGGGTATCTGTGTAGGTCTCTATGGGTCTCTGTCTGTGTGGGTCTCTGTCTGTGTAGGTCTCTATGGGTCTCTGTGTGGGTATCTGTGTAGGTCTCTATGGGTCTCTGTGGGTCTCTGTCTGTGTAGGTCTCTATGGGTCTCTGCAGGTTCTATGGGTCTCTATGGGTCTCTGTCTGTGTGGGTCTCTATGGGTCTCTGTATGGGTCTCTGTCTGTGTGGGTCTCTGTAGGTCTCTGGGTCACTATAGGTCTCTATGGGTCTCTGTGTGGGTCTCTGTCTGTGTGGGTCTCTATGGGTCTCTGTGTGGGTCTCTGTATGGGACTCTGTAGGTCTCTATGGGTCTCTGTAGGTCTCTCTGTGTGGGTCTCTATGGGTCTCTGTCTGTGTGGGTCTCTATGGGTCTCTGTCTGTGTGGGTCTCTATGGGTCTCTGTCTGTGTAGGTCTCTATGGGTCTCTGTGTGAGTCTCTGTATGGGACTCTGTAGGTCTCTATGGGTCTCTGTCTGTGTGGGTCTCTATGGGTCTCTGTCTGTGTAGGTCTCTATGGGTCTCTGTGTGAGTCTCTGTATGGGACTCTGTAGGTCTCTATGGGTCTCTGTCTGTGTGGGTCTCTATGGGTCTCTGTCTGTGTAGGTCTCTATGGGTCTCTGTGTGAGTCTCTGTATGGGACTCTGTAGGTCTCTATGGGTCTCTGTCTGTGTGGGTCTCTGTGGGTCTCTGTCTGTATGGGTCTCTATGGGTCTCTGTCTGTGTAGGTCTCTATGGGTCTCTGTCTGTGTAGGTCTCTATGGGTCTCTGTAGGTTCTATGGGTCTCTATGGGACTCTGTCTGTGTGGGTCTCTATGGGTATCTGTGTAGGTCTCTATGGGTCTCTATGGGTCTCTGTCTGTGTGGGTCTATGGGTATCTGTGTAGGTCTCTATGGGTCTGTGTCTGTGTGGGTCTCTATGGGTCTCTGTGTAGGTCTCTATGGGTCTCTGCAGGTTCTATGGGTCTCTATGGGTCTCTGTCTGTGTAGGTCTCTATGGGTCTCTGCAGGTTCTATGGGTCTCTATGGGTCTCTGTCTGTGTAGGTCTCTGTCTGTGTGGGTCTCTGTAGGTCTCTATGGGTCACTATAGGTCTCTATGGGTCTCTGTAGGTCTGTCTGTGTGGGTCTCTATGGGTCTGTGTGGGTTTCTGTATGGGGCTCTGTAGGTCTCTATGGGTCTCTGTAGGTCTCTATGGGTCTCTGTCTCTATAGGTCTCTGTCTGTATGGGTATCTATAGGTCTCTATGGGTCTCTGTGTGGGTCTCTGTGGGTCTGTCTGTATGGGTATCTATGGGTCTCTATGGGTCTCTGTCTGTGTGGGTCTCTGTCTGTGTGGGTCTCTATGGGTCTCTGTGTGGGTCTCTGTATGGGACTCTGTAGGTCTCTATGGGTCTCTGTAGGTCTCTCTGTGTGGGTCTCTATGGGTCTCTGTCTGTGTGGGTCTCTATGGGTCTCTGTCTGTGTAGATCTCTGGGTCTCTGTAGGTTCTATGGGTCTCTATGGGTCTCTGTGTGGGTCTCTGTCTGTGTGGGTCTCTATGGGTCTCTATGGGTCTCTGTCTGTGTGGGTCTCTGTCTGTGTGGGTCTCTATGGGTCTCTGTGTGGGTCTCTGTCTGTGTCGGTCTCTATGGGTCTCTCTGTGTGGGTCTCTATGGGTATCTGTCTGTGTGGGTCTCTATGGGTCTCTGTCTGTATGGGTCTCTATGGGTCTCTGTAGGTTCTATGGGTCTCTATGGGTCTCTGTCTGTGTGGGTCTCTATGGGTCTCTGTCTGTGTGGGTCTCTATGGGTCTCTGTCTGTGTGGGTCTCTGTATGGGACTCTGTAGGTCTCTATGGGTCTCTGTAGGTCTCTCTATGTGGGTCTCTATGGGTCTCTGTCTGTGTAGGTCTCTATGGGTCTGTGTGGGTCTCTATGGGTCTCTATGGGTCTCTGTCTGTGTGGGTCTCTATGGGTCTGTGTAGGTCTCTACGGGTCTCTGTCTCTATGGGTCTCTACGGATCCGTTACAGCTGGTAACTCCAACATAGCGT